AGATAAGAATATTGTGAACGAAAATTTATCGTGTTGCCGTTTAACGAGAACAATTTTTTTCCGCTTCGTTTAAAATGGATGCTGAGAAACCTGATAAGTAAACGAAAATCTGCCGTGTTGCCATCGAATAAAGAAAAAATTTTCCTTAACTTAATTAAAATTAATATCCAAAACATAACAATTAGTGCTATAAAAACTAGGTCTTAGACTTATTCCAAAGTTTTAATAGGCCTTGCGTGCTTTGTTATATTTCATTAAACAAACAGAGGTTTTTTAAATGATGCTAGAAAAGTTAGTTATACATCATTTTCGACAATTCCATATAAACTCCGAAGAAAATCTCAACATCACGAAATTGCGTTATAACTGTCAGCCATTACTCTGTCTGGAGTGCAGTAATATTAGTGTTAATATACTGTTAGTGTAAGACAATACTGACAGACTATTCAACTCTCTTTTCGAAAATGAAAACTAAAGCTTTGTATTTATTATTATATAGGTAATTCTGAAATTTTTGAGACAGGAACAAGCAAGAAATAAGTAAATAAATAAAAAATGAAATATAAACAATTATTTGTTAGATATGTCAATTTACGTCCGCAGTACCTTCAACGTCTACAGTTATCAAAAAGAAATGAAATTCCATCTTGTGACACTGTATTTAGATGGTTTACATAATTCGTAGTTCTACACGGCTAAATGTCTTTCAGAAATTCAATAAGATGCGAATATTAGGGACTCATGTTTCACCTAGAAAACGCTTCTTCTCATTAAAAAAGATTGACAGTCAAATTTCTCGAACAAAAACACATCAAAGTGATAGAACATCCACCCTATTCTCCTGATCTTGCTATATGTGACCTTTGAGTATGTTTTATCCTAGAACAAAATTTACGTGGACGCAAAGTTTTCCTCGATTCTAAGAACTAGATCTTTTGAAACATTTGTTATTTGGAAAAGTTCACTTCGAAAAGTGCACTGCTCTTGAAAAAAACTACTTTAAATACACCTGAGATTTGTTTAACTTGTACCATTTAGCTTTATCTCAAAAATTTCAAGGTGACACAGTAAAACAAAAACTGAAAATGTATAACGTGGTTACGAGCTAGTTCCCTTTAAAAGTCCTCTGCGTAGGCATTCATCTCTTTAGGCAGATAGCCTAGCATGCTTCGCCGTAATCAAATAAACCAAACCAGAAAACGGGGATTTCACATTTCGTATAGAATCAAACAGCTTTGTTTGAAGTTTCAAACAATGATATTGATTCGAAACGAAAAACGTACTTCTAAATCTGTAATTTAATTTTTCACTAGCAATACCCATTACGAAGTAAACCTAACCAATTTAAATTTTGCAAAGCCTTAATTCTGCTTTACAAGACGAACTTTACGTAAATTTAAAAAAAATCCGATGTGACCAGCAAATTACGTCTCGGTAAACAAAATCTAATTTGTTTATAAATTATACGGATCAATATTAAGGGGGCTGTATACCTTCGAAAACTTCTTTTTTAAATTTTTAAGTTAATGCATTTAATTTTGGCCTTAAAGTAATTAATGATGAAAAAAATGAAGAAGCTGAGTTATATTATGACCATTCATTTTGTATTTTTGGAGCAAAGTAAGAAAACAAGCAAAAAAAACAGCAATATTTACAATAACATTCTGTTCAAAAAAAGTACAATATATTTTCATATGTTGTAAAATGCAAACCCATCATAATGATATTCTCAAGGAGGTAGACTATTATTTTAAAGCTAGGAAGTCATTTAATTTTTTTTTTTTAGCTAGAATGTGTAATATAACAAAGGAAAAGCATATTTTCTCATTAAAATTCATGTTTAACACATAATAACGTTATAAAAAATGCATTTATCAATTAGTAAATAATCTGTCTCCTTACATGAAGTGTTCTTAACATGTATACCAAATTGCATAAGATTTCAATAATAATTTTTAAAGATATTGTGTTTCTTGTTATTCCTTTAAAACACGAAAAATGAAAAACGAGATAAACGCATTTAAAGAATTCAAACACTCGATTACCTACTTTTAATCAGTTTGTAAACTTAAAATCCCCCTGATTTATAACTAATGCCCTCTTGTTTTTCAGAATTTACCTTTTTTTTTTTTTTTTTTTTTTTTTTTTTTTTCGGGTTTCTCGCAGCTTTTAAAATTTTTCTCTGCTTTTTAAAGCCAAATCATCGTCTGCATTGTCGATACGGTTAACAATCAAACATTTCATACTCGTTTGCAGTCAGTAACCAAAATCTATACCTAATTTACCATATCTATACCTAACCTATACCAATACCTATCTATACCTATAAAATAAATGAATATTACTCAGTAATAAATAAAATAAAAACGCTTATCAGCAATGTAAACACAGAATCAAAACACGAGGGAAAATGCGTAAGTGAATTCATAACACACACCTTTAAAATATACTAGAACTTTGTTTTGTTGCCATTATAAAAATATGTTTTGATTAAATTTTGATTTGAATTAAATTTAATGAAAGAAAATATTAAAAGTTTAATGAACTTGATTTCAATTGGTATATCAAAACTTAACTAAATACTGGCTAAAGTATGGAAAATTAGAAGAAGAAGATTAAAATCTTCACTCAATTCGGGCTATAATTGAGACTTTTGAAAAGAGTTGGCGCTTTATTAGTAAAAGGAAAGAATCCAGTATTGATTATATATACATATTTACAAAATATTTACAATAAAAATTTACAATAATTTCTCTACTCTTTTATATCCTTCATTACCCTCCAGCTAAGGTTTAAGGTAATGTTATCATATCCAAAAGAGTCAAAAAATTATAAAGTAAAGTCAAGGCCTGCCTTTTTAATATATAAATTAATAAATTTTGGTGGTACTTGGTTATCAACTTGTACATTAATTAGCTTTATTATTTCTTCCTTTAAATCGTCTATTTCAGTACATTTTTTATTCTGATAATTTGGCTATGAAACGTGTTTTCTATTATTTTTCTAGAGATATTAGAGTTCCAATTAATTAGTTTAATAGTAGGAAAATGGAAATTCCTTCTTTTATCAAATAATTTAATTTTGCTGTGTTTAATAATTTGCAGGTCTAGGAATTCAATATTATCTTGATTCATATTCGTTTTATTAAGTGTTAAACTATTTGGGTAAATTTTGAATAGCTCAAAAGTAGAATTATTATTGAAAGATATAATATCATCTATGTATCTAAAAGTATGAGCAAATAGATTTTGCTAAAGTATGAGCAAATAGCAAAAAGCTATTTTCTCATACTTTTAGATTCATCTATGTATCTAAATTCTATGTATGTTATCTAAATTCTATATATATTATCTAAATTCTATCTATGTATGTTAATTCTTAAATGTTAATTTCTAAAGGTACCACTTTATTGGAATTACGTTTGCTTTTGACTTTTACCCTTGCCTGCATGAATGACGAAACACGAATTGAATGATTAGAGAGTTAGGTTTGGAGGCAACTTCCCCTTGATAAGTCTGTCTCCTACCTACTCAACGGTCATTCACATATGCATTTTTTTTTTTTTTTCATGGATTGATTTTGCATTTGATTTGCTTATGCTTCTGAATTTAAATGATATTGAAGATTAGTTCGAGAATTAAATCTTTTACGTGTTTGCACATTTTTTTAAAAATTTTGGCTTTTTTCTTCTTTTTTTAGAATTTTAATTTGCTTTTTTACTTTTATACGTATTTGTTAAAAACTAAATTTAAATTTGTTAAATTTGAATTATACTTATGTATATTTTTCTTTAAAAATTGTTATGGGCTTCAGGTAAAGTCCTACTTTATTTGTCCATTAAAGATAGTTATGGGCTTCCTGTAAAGTACCACTTCCGGTTGCCCAATTTAAAGCAAAATCTTATCAACTCTTTACATAAACGTGGAAAGTTTAAATACGGAAAACAGAACTATTTGGAAGTTTCATACAAGAGTTATCACGGACGAAAATATCGTCACACACAGACAGCATTCTAAAATTACATTCACATTCTAAAAAGAGTGAAAACGTGTTGTGGGAATCCTCATTTATGTTATTCACTGAAAAGTAATCGAATTTTCGGACCGAAAATATTACATCCCTTGAATGCGTATATAGGTAGGCGGGAGGTTACAATTCAATAATTTGCCTTTCACGTTTTTAAAAAATATTTTTGTTCATCGCAGTATCAGTACAATTACACTAGGGACGTCTGTTTCAAATGCCTACATGTTTAGTTCACACGAACTCCAAGTTATTAGCTTGGAGTTCGTTTGAAGTTTATTAACTTGGAATAGTTTCTGTATTTTACTGGTGCTTTTGTATATACATGTACTTATGTACAAATTTATAGTGTCTGTCAGAAATTGAGTATCTGTATATTTATATTAGGAGTGAGCATCAAACATTTATTAGAACTAATTAATGTATTAATAGTGATTGCATATATACATGTAATTATTTATAACATCTGTAACAGAAATCGTTATCTGTATATAAGTATTAGCGGTGCCCACTTCTCGTTTATCTCCACATCATCATATTTTGGACTAATTTATGTACTTTTAAAAGTGTATGTATTTAGATTATGTGTTTTAGTATATGTATGTACACATGTATTTAGGTAAAAATTTATAGCGCCTATGACAGAAATTCAGTAACATGCAGAATTCCTCATGTAAATGATTAATCGGTTTGCACACAGTGATAATGCAAGCGGCAGTGACACACCAGCATAAATTTCACAGCCATTGTGGCTGTGGCTCCCATTGACCCATCAATTGTTACTCCCTATACAGCTTACCTTTCAATCTTTGATTCTTTTATTCGTTTACTTTTGCAAGGATAGACTTCAGGAGACACGGTCTAATGCCATAAGAAATAGTTATAATCGTCGACAGGACTTAAGCAGGCCGGAAAGCACCTTTCCTAAGTAGATCGGCTATCTTGCCGGCGGAGAAAAGAAAAGTACCCGCAAAATATAAAAAACGCTATAAAAATACATTCTTTATTGATGAAAATCAAAGTAAACACTCGCCGTCGCTAAAAGTTCTTCTCCTAGATCTCTTTCGTTTTCATTTCCCAGAAAATCCTCTGCGAGTTCACGAAACGTCATTGCCAGTCGCCGTGACTTAATATCCTGTCTCTTGATTTCGTGAAACCAATTATGTCTAGCACAGCCCGCCAGGATCAACAACGATCTGGCTGGAAGTGGAACTCGAACGTTTATTTTCAAGTCTATTCCCTCAGAGCGATAAAAACTACATATATCTCGAGCAATTTCCACTTTGTGGTCTTTGTCATCGCAATCGAATCTCTCTGTTGCTGCCCATCCATTGTGGCATAACTCTTCACTCTCTGTGTTTTCTGAAGATAGCACGGGAAAATGTTTATGGTTACACTTATTTGTTTCATTAGACGCAAACCGGTCTTTCATTATTTTTTCTACTTCAACAGAACAACAGCAGCTGTGGAAGAGGGCCGCCGTAAGAATGAGAAATGTAGGAGACATCAGATTGATAGTCACCAACCTCTCGCCCCAGATCCACGAATCATCAATATGTGGATCTATGGCCGATCCTCTGTCTGGAGAATAGTCAAGATGGCAAAGCTCCACAGGTTGGAAATCGGAAAGTTCTTTCAGATTCTGTAGTTTTCCAACCAAGGGTTCAGTGAATCGTGGGAAACCCCTGAAGTCTCCGATTTTCCCTTTACGCTTCTTGAAGTTCACTTTTGGTCCAAAGTCCTATAAAGAAAGAAACAAAAATCTTACGTTTCAAACTACCTTCGCATGAAAAAGTATAATTTATGAACACAATTTAGGAATGAATAGCAATAAACTGGAAGTTTCAAGAAATGTATCGCTTGCTATGTTTAAAAAAAAAATAACATGTCTATGGCAGTTCCACGTCGCAGATCTAGGTCAAAATATCTAAGTCCAGGAGATTAAGGGTCATCAGATCAAGACCTAGAAGATCCGGGATCAACAGATCTAGAGCCAGAGGATCCAGGTCCAGGAGATTCAGGGCCATCAGATCCACGTCCAAGAGATACAGGATTACTACAGCCCGATCCTGGAGATTTAAGGTCTTGATATTCCACGTTCAAGAGATTCAGGGACATCAGGTCCAGGTCAGATATTCAAGATCAACAGACTCAGGTCAAGGAGATCAAGAGTCATCAAGCAATACAAGTTCTACGTCCAGGAGATCCAGGGCTATCAGGGAAAGGCTAATCGAACCATCTAGCAATGGTTTTCTCTGGTATTGCTTTCATTTAGTTTCAGTAACAAAGGGAATGGTTAGAGACCTTCGAGCTCGAAAAGACTTGTTTTCGAATACTAAAAATGTATTGGAAACTCATCTTGCATGAGTTTAGCCGGATGTCTTCGTGACAGTGCTCAGTAAACCGGCCACTTTTTATTAAACAGAATTGCTACAAAACAAATAAATTAGCGGCATTTATTTGTTACAGAAAAAGAGTGGCAATAAAACAAAAATTTCTTTTTTCAGCTTATGGGTCTTGCCAGAGATTATCCAAAACTTTCCCTTTCATGTAAACATAAATAGCTGAAAATTATTACAAAACGATTGCGTAATTAGAAACGATTTTAAAGCAATTAGAATAACAAAGAAATTGATTTGAGTACCTGTTTCTTTCGTCCTGATTGCGACGGAACCCAAGGGATGCGGTCAATTTCCTTAACAGCTTTCGTTTCTTCTTCCTCCGTCAAAAAGTCAGGAACCAGAGTTATTTTGCCTAGATATAAGGGACTACCATCTTTCTGATCAGGCCAACACAAGTTGCAGTGACGGCAGTAGGTGTAGACTGCCACTTCCTGTGCAAAAAGTAAACAGTTTCGATTATATTTCTGCTGTCGGTATGTAAAATTGTAAGTAAAATTATAACATTCTCGTCCAATTATGTTCTAGATGCCACTTCTAGATGAAGAAGTTTCTTCTAAATACCTGAACCGGTGCATGATCGACACTGCGTAAAATCAGCAACCTCTCTGCCAACACACTTATCGACAAGGCAGCTCAAAATCAGTTTCGATCCTACGCAAGTCGATCCTTGATTATGTGCCGTTTTTAATTATAAGATTTGTCGTTTATATGGCAGTGTTAATTTTAAGGTTCGAGTACAGGTGAGGACATATATTTGAACAGATCTCCCTCAATAAGATGTCCCCTCAATTACGTCGCCTGACAGCATTTCATCTACACAGGAAGATTTTGTATCCAAGTTACTCTGAGCTACTAAACCAATCGGAGCAGTCAAAATAGATAATGTAATTTGTATCCAATAGCAGACCTCTAGCGGTCTGACAACAAGCATAAAGTCTGCAAAGTTTACAATGCTTTTATTTTTCAGAGATAAAATTTGTATTCAAGCTGTAATAATAATAGAAATAACAGACAGAATATTTAATAGCAGACAGAAAGTGACTAAAAATGCAAAATACGAAAAATAAATAAAATTTGTAGAAAAAAAAAAAAATAATAATGAAGCGGGAAAGAAAAGCAATTAATTTTGAAATGTAATGCATATATATATTATTATGATTATATATAATCTTAATAATGCAACATTTTAAATACATGAAAGAGGAAAAACAATCTTTATCACTTTTTAAATAATATTAAAAAAAATAATAATTATATACAGTCGATAAGTTCATGCGCATTAAGAGTATGCGTGGAAATCACTATGACGCATTTACTAAAACAATACAATTTTGAACCTGTTGAAACTTGTCATCGTTTGACTAGCATATTATTTAATTCATCACCAACTTTCGTAAATATCGAACGCATTTTAGTACCCATAAAAGATGAATATAGATAATCAGTACAAACGTGCTGTGCTACATTTTATTTTCGTGTGGTGAAGCTGTCAGGTTTGCAGCGATAAAAATTAATAGTGTACATGATGAACACACTATATACTTACTCTAGTAAGGAGTGCCCAGAAATGGTTTAAAAAATTTAAAGTTGGAAAAAGCAGCATTGATGATGAACCCCGTTTCAGGACGTTTTGTACTTTTAGAACCAAATCAAACGATTAATTCAGAATTTTATAGTGAACAACTTTGCCGTCTAAACTCAGAATTGATCAAAAAACGCCCGCGATTGGTGAATATCAAGAAAGTGTTATTTCATCATGATAACGCTAAACTGTATACGGCTCGAACAACGCTGCAAAAAATTAGTGAATTTAATTGGGAGCTTTCGCCACTCTCCTGCTTACTCCCCAGATATTGCCTCAAGTGATTTTCACTTATTTCGTGCCTTACAAAATGTTTTACTGGGAAAAAAATTAAATTCTAAACAGGATGTACACAATGAATTTTCAAGTTTTTTTGGATCAAAACCAGAGTCTTTCTACAGCAATGGCATAAAACAATTGCCTGTAAGACGGCGAGACATTGTAAATAATGAAAGAAAATATATAATTGATTAAAATGTTAAATTGTGTTTTTTTATATTATTTAAAAATTTACCAAAAAATGCGCACGAATTTATGGACTAACCCAGTATATAATTAATATAAAATTATTATTTAAATTATTAACTAATATAAAATTTTATATATAATAATAAAATAACATGTTACATGCAAAAATTTTAATAATATTTATATTAATAGAAAAAAATCAAAAACTAGCTCAGTTGCGTTCTAACTCACAATCTGCTGGTTCACAGAAAATTTGAATATTTCAGTAAATGCGCCAGGCGATCAAGCGATCAATAGAAAATCTGAAGTATAATCAAATACAAACAGACGATATATTAAGCTTTTCTTGTTTGTCAGATTTCTTGCAACATAACAATATAGTACTCTCCTTAAACAGGAAAAAAATATTCTAGCAGATTTTAGTTAATGCTAACAAATGAGGTGAAAAAATATAGAGCTCTCTATAGCTTACAATAGCAAATTACTTGTGCGAAGGTGAAAAAGTATTCAATTTACAAAGAAATCAACCGGAAATAACGATTCGAAAGAAATAGCGCATAATAAATTAATTAAATTTGTTAACATAATAATAAAAACTCCAAACGACTAGCACCATATTATTCGATAAGCTAAACGCTGACAGTAGCCGCCACAGCTTTTCGCACGCGTGATTTTCATACACAATTGCATTGGTTGTTGTCAAATATGTCCTCAGCGACAAAGTATCTCGTCATGCGCAATGATCACGACTCCGGTGCAAGCACCACTGACGAGCCAGAGGTATGTTTCCCTGAGCAGACGGATTTCAGAATGCATTATTTTGTACGAAGCCTGCATCTGGGGCCACAAACTCAGTTGTTCCATGAGGAAAAACTTTGCTTTCCATGCAAAGAAGTACGTCAACTTCTGCTCATGTGTCGGGCCTATCGCACTTCTACAATATCTGAGCTAAAATCATTACTGGTCTTCCCCCTCTTGATCTTGTTGTCGAGAAGGAAACCGCAGTGACAAAAGCTACAAGCTGAATAAAAATACACCACTGTGGGTATTTTAGCTTAATTCCTCTATTTTCTTACTATGTGTATGAGCTTTATTTCATTTTAGATATTATTTTTTAACTTGTTTTGCATATTTTATACCATCGTAATTTTTAAAGTACTCTAATTTTGAACTTGTTTATTACATTTTCGCACCATACGTATGAACTTTAAATAATTTTAGATGTCATTGTTATACTTTTCTGACACTGGGTTTCTTTCTAGTTTCCAACATACTCTAAACTTTAACTCTGTTTTACAATTTGTGATTGTAATTGCACTTTTTATTTTACTATTTCAGCTAAATTAACATGCTTAAATTTCTTAAACATAGAGATAGATTTCGATTAAGCATTTTATTTTACAACCTTTAACTGTTATATTCATATCCAACTCGTTGAATAGCCCTTACTTAGTCCATATTTTATAGTACTATTTTAATTTGCCAATTCTACAATTTATCATTCTGTAGTACTCTTACCATGACTTTCCTACTACTTTACTTCATTATTAACTTCATTCGCATTTTCAAACTTTAACATTTCCTGCATAATATGGCATTTCCTTTTAATTCTTAATACCCTTTATATCTGAATATATGTTTTTAATCTCTTCAGTGTTACCAATGTTCAGTTTTCAATCTTGATTCTCATTAAGCTAGTTTGATAGATTCCGAATTTTTAGAATGAAATCTCAACTTTCATCCATAATTTTAGACCCATATTCATTCTTTCATGTACTCTTACAAAATTCTTTCTTATTAATTTGAACGCTCAGTACCTTTTAATGCAGTAATTTGTACTAATTGAATGCATTCTACATCACTTTAAATGTTTCGACTAAGCAAATTTTCACTTTATTACCTTTTACTACACTAAGTATGGATATTTCTGCCTTCATGAATGATTTTCATGTGAAATTGACGATTATTTAGGTTACATATCCAAAAGAAAGTCCTAATACATTTCCAGTTTTGAATAAGAATGAAGGACATCGATTTTACCCATTTGTTTACAATTTCATCTCTTGAAAGTTTGTTTTATTGGTATACATTATTTCTAACGCATAGTGTTAACACTTTTTTTTTTTTTTTTTTTGTTTTTTTTTTTTAGTTTTTTTTTATGTAAGTTAGGCCACTTTCAACACTATTTCCCTAGACAAAATCATATATAGTCTGTTCTTTTAATTTCTTAGACTAAAATGTTCTTTTCGCAAATGTCAGTTTGCATTAATTTATTTACGAATTTATTTTCTTCTGAATGAAATCTTGTAAAACACTACCTTACCTTTACACAACATATATCATTACCAATATACCTATATTTACAGAAGGAACCAAAGAGATAAACAGTAAGAGACATTTTACCCTAATCTTCCACTGTAATTTCGAATATTTTAACCTTCTTCATCACAAATACAGAACTTTCTTCGTACAATACTTATCACAGCAGTTAAACATGCCTTACCAATACACATTTGATGAGGAATAACCCCTTTTCAATTCAAAATTACACCCAAATAAGTGTTATGTTTTCTTATAATTGTACATATATGTTTGCATTATAGGAACTTTCTATCCATTTTTGAGAACAGTAATTTGCTAAATATTACCTCTTTCTGAGAGAAAACTCCAAACACCCATATAAATAATTTAACTTTTCCTTTAGTATTACCACACTAGAGAATAACTATCTTAGAACCTATTTTCTGAATATTAGAACTAATATGAAATAAGCATTTTTCACTGTAGAATATTTAAGGTTTTACCTAAATGAGGATATAACCTTTACCGAATTTTAGTTATATCCAGAATTCCAACAATGTTTAGAAAATGTGTTGATAGAAAGCAATATTTACCTATATTTACCGAAGTCATAACTAAGTCTATAACAGATTTTTATCGGCTCCAGATTTACTATCAGTGAGAAAAACCTGAAGTTCACTTTATCTACCCTTGTCAGTTACACAAAAGTCATGAATCATTCTGTAGTACAATTAGCATTTTACTACATTTAATACTAATTTTTTAATTAACTTTCAATTAGGAATTTTAAAAGAAAAGCATATTTATGCGACATATTATTAAATTACTTCCCAAGCGTTGTTGAGAAAATGCAATTAAATATCCACATACACATTAAGAAAATCCTACTCGTTAGGACAGTAAATCTTACCATACTTTAAACGAAATGTAAAATATTATAATGCATTAATATAAAACCTGAGTAAAAAATCATTTCCTATAAGCTGTATACGTTAAAATGACTATTCTTACTTATCACTTATAAGAAGTAAGTAAGGTATGAACCAACGTTTTTAGAAATTTTCCTTTATTTTCTAAATCTACCCTTTGTAGTAACGAGAAAATTCAATCATACTCCTATTTTCTTTTTATATATGTGGCATGCACATTTCTTCTAACAGACAAAAATCT